GCACACACGCGGCCCTCGGCGGCGTGACATTGGCCACAATGGGAGCAGACACGGTCAGAGGCGCTGGTAGGCGGCACGTCCGGTCGGTCGGTCTCGGTGCGTCCTGGCCCAGCTGCGGCGCGCGGCCCCCTGGACCGTCACCGCCAGCTGCGCCGCAGGGCGCTCTGGCGCCTGTCCCGGGCGGCGTGGGTCGGACGGACGCCACACCCTAGCGGGTGCTGCGCCTGGCCGTCAACAACCCGGACCGGCACTGGCAGTGTGGCATCATGCATCTGGCCTCAGCGCCAGAGATTGGGCTTTTAGTCGGCATTGTTTGATTTTCGCGACAAGTCCACTCGTGAGGGCCTGGTGACCGATGCGCTGAAGTCAGTGAGAGGCAGCCCATCGGAAATCGCTGACGGAACAATCGCAGAATCCCAGTACACGCACGCACCCGTATATATCCCGGACTAGGCTGGGGTAGAATCGACGTGCAGCGGATTATTTTCTAGACGCCGTGAACAGTCCTACGCCTTTGCGGTCCCCGAAGCTGGTGCGGCGGACGCCAGAACGGCTCAGCCGACCGGCCGCCCCCGTCAACGTGTGCCTGGCGCCACGCCCATTATTGGCCGGGATGAGCGGTGCGGCGAGCTCGGGGGTGTTGGGCCGGGGCCACGATAAATGTGAGAAAAGACTGTTGGTGGCTGGAGACAAACTGGCCAGCGGTTGGCGTTTCTGCTCCCTGACGTTGCAAGATATGTACTCTGTTGTCCCTTTCCACAGAACATACGAACGCAAAAATCGTAGCGATTTCTGTTGTCATGTTTGACCATGCAGGCGGTACATAAGTAGTGCGTTGAAGATGCCATGCGTGCAGGGTTTATGTGCCTTTAATAACATGGCGTCTCAGATGGTTAGAACATGTTTTGCGTGGAAACGGGCAGCCGTCCAGTGCGTCATGAGTGCGTGTGAGAGTGTCGATTGACCTGCCCATGCGACTAGGCGGCCGCATTGTGACCGTCCCCTCTGTGTACTCTCGTCACTGTTGTAACCCGCCGGTGCGCGGTTGGCCGTGTTCCGCTGGCGCCCACTGGGGAACGGTCGCGCCCACCTCCCGGCCCGCGCCGACCGTGACTGACGGCCCGCCCGCCCCGCCGTGTCGGACAGGTGTGTGGCCGCTTCTTCAGCATGTACCCGCGGCGCAGCTTCCAGCTGGTGCGCTGGCTGGGTGGCTGGCTGCGGCGCGGCGCCGTGCCCGTGGCCACGCTGAACCCGCAGCGGGGCGTGCCGCCGCAGCAGACGGTGCCCGACGCCTGGCACCACCAGATGGCGTTCGGCGTCGGACCGCAGGTCAGTCGGGCTGCGGCGTGCTGGCTCCCCGTGGCGGCCCGGGCTCCGGCGCGGCGCGGCGAGGCGCTCGTCAGGCAGATCAGTTGCTGACGCCGAGAGCTGATGTTGGTCGCGCGCCATCCGTGCTAAACGGTCGTGGGGGAGCTTAGAATGTTTCAGTGGGAAGGGGCTTTGGCTTGGCGGTCTTTTGTATTGTTATCTGACTTCGGAGAACGTGTGGCCCGGAAACTGTGTCTTATCAGGGCTGCGCGCTGCTGATACGCGGCGCATGTGGCGGTGTGTAATCTCGGCCGTAAAACTCGCCCCAACCGGCTGCAAGGAGAAGCACGCGTCGGACTCGAGGTGCGCTAGACCACAACTCTGCTTTTATGTGGACCGGGCCCAACCTCTGTGTAGGCTGACCCTCCAGTGGCCGGCCGTGATACTTTGTAGTCACTTGTCGGACGCCCGCCACGGCTCTCGTTCGTGGCTGCCCGCTGGCGGGGTATCCCTGCCCTTCTGCGCCTGCCTGCGTGCCGTGTGGTGCGGGCCGCCGTGTGGGCCGCGTTGTCCCTGTGAGCGCGTCTGCGCGTGCGCTCTGACCCGGCCCGGCCGCCGCCGCCAGGGCGTGTACTTGACGAACCCGCTGGAGTGCGTGTCGGCCTCGCTGCTCGGGGAGCAGCTCTGCAGCGAGCCGGTGCTGCTGGTGCGACGCGAGGACATCACCTCCCGGTGGCGCGACGGCTGTGCCCTCCAGCCGCTCATGAACGCCGCCGACCCCCGCTGGCGACGCATGAACGTGCTAGGTGGGTACCGCGCGGCGCCCCTGCAACCGCCAGTCTCTTACAGGATTCGCATGACGCACCTCTGGCTGTCCCGATGCTTTGCCCGATGGGCGCGATATGGCAGCGAAGTCGAGGTGCCCGAAAGCCCCAGTGACACGTTCGATAGGGCGGATGAACTGTGTGTCTGTCTGGTGTGTGCTTGTTAGTCTGCATGTTGCCCAGCGTTCGACAAAGCAGCAACTACGACTCGCTTTCACGACTCGAGGCCATTTGACTATTACGGAAGATTGGATTTCCAAGGTAGTCTGTCTAATGCGAATAGGTTGTCTCATGTTGCCGTGTTCGTCCGACCCGATATGTGGTTCGGGTTCATTTGTCACAGCCGTTCGATGACATATTCTCAAACAACTCACTCCCGTCTTGTGGACCGCACCTATCGTTTAGCGCTCACATGGCTCGTCGGTGCGATGGCCTCAGTGGTGGTTGCCGCCGGTGACCCCGCCGGCTCATGCGGCGTCCCCGCCGCTCTGTGGCGGGTGCGGCGCTGCTGCCGGGCCGGACCGTGACGCCGCCGGCTCGCTCCTCAGCCAGGTGGTGACGGTGCTGCGGGAGGAGCTGGACGCGCCGCCGCCGGGCGTCCGGCGCGTGCTCACCACGCACGTGACCGTGCCGGCCTGGTACCGGTCGGGCGTGACGCTCTTCCTGCGCCGCTCTTCGCCGCACTGCGCCGACCTCCTGCGCGAACCGGAGCTGCCCCGGCTCGAGGATTGTTAACGCCTGAACGATGCAGATTCTATTTATGTGCGCTTCGATCTATGCAATGACCTGTTTTTGTGTGTTTGTAAATATACGCTGCCATACCGCGCCCTGTCAGTCTGCGCGAAGCAGCAGGCGGGATGCTCGAGGATATTTTTTTTTTTGCGACGCGCATGTAACCAGATCATGAGCGGGGTTGAAGTGGAATTAAAGGTGCATGAGTTCATGCTTTAATTGGGACGTACAACGGGTCGGTCAAAGCGTAAATTGAGGTAAACTTCCGTGCGTCTCATGCGTAGATGGGATTTGGTACCTGCCGAAAATATTTTGTTGCGTCGAGTTGCAGCTAACTTTTGCTCCAAGGAGCTGTGTGGCTGTGAACTGACTAGTGGAATATATCGGAGCATTCAGCTGCTGGTGTCTTCAGTCACACCAACGGATGGAAGATAGATCCAGAAAAGCGACGTCTTGAACCGCTTCGTCCCTTAATTTTTCGAGCAGTGGGGACACGGACCCGGCGCACTGCGGCGTGGGCCGTCGCGGATCAAGACAGCGAGTGTGGCCGATGGGCGGCTCAGAGTACTCTGCTCGCATAAAGCGGAGGTTTGTGTTCTGCAGACAGACCATTTGAACTTGGGCTTCACTGTCGCGGCCTCTGGTGGTGATCTGGGGGCGACTCGGAGTGGTCAATGCGAGGGAGCCGAGCGGCTCCCTGAGGAGGAAAGCCCCTCATAAGCGGTACAAGGTACTACATAGCACGGCATGCCATTGCCGCTGCTGGCCTTAATTCCAGGTTTGAGGTTCACAGCCATCCCAAATAAAATTCGAGGCCCGTCAGGTACATCAGGGATCCGACTGAAAAATCAAAATGCGCATCAATTCATGGGCAGAAAAAGTTTCCTCTGAAATTGGGCCGGATGGAAGTTCAGGAGCGTGGTAGAAAAAGGCAATGTTTCCTGCCTTGCAAAGTGAGTACAGCTTGATCGATGATTGATCGAAAACGTTCTCGATCATTGCCTCCGTCAACCTGTGAAGGGCGGTACGGGGTGCAGAGCAGACGAAGGGAAGAGACCCTATTTCCGGGAGGAGGTTAACACTACCTACGATGTTTGCATAGAGAGGAACCATCTCAAGATCAGTTCCGCCTAATTCTCAGTTAATTTAGTTCCAATAGCTAAAATGGTTTGTGCCTGCCTTAACGATTTGCCCACTCGTGGCTGGGTGAGCCGTTCTTTCCGATTGGAATGGGTCGCAGCTAGTGACAGTCGCCGCGCTTAAGATCAGGTGATGTCAAAGGGCAGAACGAACCATGCCGAGCATTACGGCACGTGCGTTCGTCCGGAAATCTGCCGATGACTCGCATCACGGGCAAAGTGTTGAGCTCAGGGCTTACACAGGCAGTGACGCAGCCAGGAGGTGAGGGGCACCCCGTCCTTTAATTCATTAATTTTTGGTTTTTACTTTTTTACTTCCGCACCGGAGACAGCTCCTTCAGTTTTCCTATGGCGTTTCAAAATAGCTGCTTTTGTTCTCCCTCCGTGATGAGTGCTCACTGAGCTTGCCCCCCTCCCTTACTGAAGTCCTGAAATAGTGCATGCGGCCCTGACAACAAGCGTGCTTAGCCTGTTGATGACCTGTCAGGGGCGTGGTTTCGCGAAATTATTGGTTGTTGAACAGTGAAAAAACGAGCTTCGTGCATGCAGCAAAACCCCCAACAAGCGGATTTACCCCAGACTTGGCCTTGATATCAATGTTGGGGAGGAGCGAGGGGGGGGGGCCTGAAGCCCAAGTTAGATGCGGGGCTGGGGCCCACCCAACTGCATGAGGAAACTACACCTCCGTGCCTGACATACTTCTGTGTATGCCTGCAATTAAATAACCAATATTGTATGTCATCATGCCAGTTACACTTAGTTTAGATTCTTATCTTTTTCCTGTATTTTCGGACAAGAAACGCTTTACTATGGCGTATGTGCGAGACTTGTTGCACTAATACGTAGAGGCAGCGGGGGAAAATGATTTAGCTGCGTGGAGCCTCCGTTCATGGCCGAATCAGCTGTTTGATGCTTTGTGGTGGTTGTGTTGCGTCGTCAGTGGTGCTGCGCCATTTCATTTGCGTTCTGTTCATCGCAGCCCCGACGCATAAGCATAATTTGTGGTTGTATTAGACCCAAGCCCCTGTTTCAAAGATGTCTTACGCATATCTTTTCAAGTACATCATTATAGGCGACACAGGTAACGGTGAAATTGTTGGCAGTGGTGCGCTGAATTGGTACCTCCTGTGGGTTTTGTCCGTGACGAGACAATTCGATGCATATGTGTGTTAATTCCTAGGCAGGCGAATCCGATACTAATATCAAATGTTTGAACTTCTATTAGTAGCTTGTCAACTAGTGTATTAATGATATAATACTACCAACACTACACCAAACTAAAGATTGGGCATGCTCTCAATTTTTAAAGCTGCACCCATATCTATAAACATAGTCATCCTCCTGACCAGGCCACAGTCTTAGCTATGCCTTATGCACTGGCAGCTAAAAATCTATGTGTGGCGTGTACAGTGAGTTTTTCAGCTCATAGGAAATCATTCACATGTTAGTTAGGTGTTGGCCAGCCTGAATAAAGCCCTAAATAGGCTAACTTTTTGTAGCTTACTTATTAAGGTAAAGTTCTGTATTTTAACCAACTCCTAGAACATAATTTTTCAAGAATTTACATTGTTAGTACTGTGGGATGCCTAACTAAAGAATGTCACTGCACAATTTGTGAAGGTTGTCCTCAGTTATGTTTCAGCTCTAATTCCAGCCTAAAAGGGTTTCTTGGGATTTATTACTTTCTAGACTGGTCTATTGCTATGCATTTAGCTCAGTGCAGAACTCAATGAAGCACATGACATAGTAGAGGCTAATAAATTCTCATCTGGGTATATAGGTACAATTGCATTTAAATATGTCTGATAGATGTTTCACTGGCTGGTTGCTTGTATTTTCATTTGGCAGATTAAAGCAGATCATTATATGTCTAAGCTTTTTGCATTTCATGTCATTCATGATATGTTTCTCAATGTTGTGGTGTGCACTAACAGAATTTCACTTCATGATTTGGCTGATAACTCATTGATTCTTTGTTTTTGGTTGGTGGTTGAATCTACACATAATCCTTGCATCCTATGTGTATCTAAACATTATTTTTAAAATTTTCTCTTTGATTAAAAATAGGTTTTGGACACCATGTCATACTGAGGTCCTAGAACCTTCCAACTGAATGGTTGGATAGACAGTGCTCTCTGTGATTGGCAGGTGTTGGGAAATCCTGCCTTCTCCTGCAGTTCACAGACAAGAGATTCCAGCCAGTTCATGACCTGACAATTGGTAAGTATGCTAATGTATGTGAAGCAGTGGGGATGTGGATTAGAAATTAGCACATGGTTAATCAAAAAAGGCATTGAGTTCCTGTTTTTTAGTCCTATAAATTAGGGTAATAAGCTGATGATAACTGGCTTTTAATAGACCTGGAGACACTGGCTGAGCAGCATTATCAAGTAAGCAGTGGTCTGCTCTCATGCATGCTGATAATTGCCCATGATTCATTTGATATTGTAGGATGCATCATCTTGAGTGTATGATTATTCAGCCAAAGTGTGCATAAGCACAAATCAGCCTGGTAATTTTGCTGCAAACACATTGATAGATTTTGTCTTGACAAATGGTTCTTGCCATTTCTATTTTCTTCTTTTTTGTTGATGATGTTATTGCTAGCTCTTCCACAACCCATGGATTTGCTCCCTATTGCTGGCACAGCTGTGTGTTATGAATGTGTTCAAAGCAAACTAAAGTTCAAGATTGTAATGTGCCTTTAGTGCAATAGGCATGTTGGTAGCAAGGTTAGTCTTATCATTATTGCTACATTTCTTGTGTCATCCTATTATCAGTTATGACAGCATATTCAGGTCATATGCTTAATGGCAAGCTGCATAACTTTTATGGCAGGGACATCAGCAGTGAAGTTTTATGGTTCTATCATGTTTTGCATGACCCTGTGCAGCGGCTTCTTACACATTTCTTTGGTTTGGCCACTTGAATCAGTGGCGTGGCTCCCTCAGAACACATTTTCCCAACCTTATGTAATTGATGCATCAGCTTTGTAGTTTCATGCATGAAAATAAAAGATAGAAATAGAAAATTAAAGATAAAGTGTAGTTTGAAGTGGAAATGATGTCTGTTTAGTTTGGGTTTGATTTGCCTTTGTTCATTGTTATTTTATCCCTCACCCTGATTCACTATTTTTTTGCAATGCTGACAAATATGGAGGGGTCTGATGCGACCCCTTCTGCCATCCAAAAGCAAAATGGCCTAAGAATCATTAGTTAACATAGCACTTAAGCCTTTTGGCTTTGGATGACAGTCTCAGCATTTCCAAACTAATGAAGATAGAGTTTAGCAGAAAACATCAGTGGCTTGGTTTCAACAAGATCTTGAGTTTGCTGCTAGTTTTTATGCTTTCATGTTTGCTCAATAAGTGAAATGATGCCAGGTCAAAGGTAAAATTTCCGTGAAAATTGCACCTTTTCAGCTTTTAAACGTCACAATATGAGACTAGGGCTCATGGCAACACAAAACCTAAACATCCGTGTTTCTTGTTCAATTCTGGGTACAATGGTGTATGTTTTTTTGTGTATTTTGAGCATATGTTTATGATGTATGACTATGTTAACACCTGCCGCGCGCGTTCCGCAGCATCGTCGGCTGTCCCCCCACGGGGCGTGGATCGACGTACAGTGTTCCTCGAAAACCGCCGCTGCTCCGAAATCATTAAACTGAGGAATACCTTTTTGGTGTCAAAATACGCGCAGTTGATGCCCCAGAGGCTAGGGGGGGGGGGTCACATCGACACCCCTAACAGGGCGAGAGGGTTACGGCACAATTTCATTCCAATCCGTGTGTTAAGTCATGATTGGTAGGATCTGTGGAGGAGCACTTTGTGTGCGTTCGATATTTTCCGAGTCTTAACCACGGGCATGGCTGCTATCTCGGTCACATAAGGCCGTGGCTGCCGCGGAGATCTGCACTGTTGTGTAACAGGCCCCAGCCCGCCAGGGTGTCGTCGCCCTGCATCCCGGATATAAGTTTTGTGCAGACGTCCAACTGTGCATTGAAACTGCAGGCCGCCCACTGCGGTGATGTCCACTTCGCGTCGACTTAAGTTTTGTGAAGAAGTCCAACTGTGCATTAAAGCTGCGGACCGCCCACCGCCGTGATGTCCATTCGCGTCGCGGCGCCTGCCGGGGGGGGGGGGGGGGTTCAGAGTGCCAGGGGCATCCGTGCAGGTTTTTGCCATCGCTAGCGGTGCGTGCCGGGCAGTGGATAGCTGCGCCGTCTTGACGGCCGCTGCCGTCGCTAACGGCGCTGCCTGTGCTCAGGTGTGGAGTTCGGCGCCCGCATGATCACAATCGATGGTAAACAAGTCAAACTGCAGATCTGGGACACGGTGAGTGACCTGTGTGGGGAGGGAGCAGGGTCGATCAGGGCGCGGCTTCTGCTGAAGTGAGCCAGGGCCTACATAAACATGCATGTTTTTGCGACTTCTTGTATGAATTATCGAAAGTTTCCTGTTTTCACATTTTCACCCGCTTTTTCCACCAACACCATCAAATTATCGAGGAAAGCCAAAGCCTGTGGTAGCCTCGATCTCGTCGTGTATGGCTCGTCAGCCGGTGCCGCGTCACCAGCCGGGCGTGGGGCGGTGTGCCGCAGGCCGGCCAGGAGGCGTTCCGCTCCATCACGCGCTCCT